GTGTGTGTGTGTGTGTGTGTGTGTGTGTGTGTGTGTGTGTGTGTGTGTGCACCCATTTGTGTATGCATGTGTCTGCAAGCTTTTCAAATGATGGGAATAATAAACTCTATTGATAGATGTCATTTAATGGCATAATTCAATCTAAACGAAAACATCAAACCAGATTATTTTAATATCATCTTTTATCATCATTTTATAATTTTTCTAGGCAGCATGGTTATACTCACTGTCATTCTCTTATCTTCTATGGACTGCTACTAAACAGTAACCATCACTGTCAAGTGCACTAAAGCAGGAACAGACAAATTCATGCAGCTACATGAGGTGTTCAGTGAATGTTTGCTTTTTGCAAGAACAAAGATATTAATTTTATTATTGACAGGGACCCTTGGAATTGTCCTAACCTTTCCCCCCTATACGGCACCCTGCTTGGAGCTGCTGCATATCTGTCCCTTTGTTTCACTATGTGAAGCAATTTGTGCTTCTTTTACTCTGATGACTTCTGAAGATGCATCATTTTATTTAAACTCACAATGCAGATTTTAAAAAACTAAGAATACTTGAAATATTTTATAAAACTATGCTGAATGAATTGAATTAGGATCTCCTGATTCATCATTTCTCTCTGTTTCCTTTCCTGCAGTGTTGTCGGACCATCTGTCACCTTTAGGATCAGACCAAACTCCAAAAACTTGACGGCCTTGAATGCAGCAGACAGAGCAGGTATGACTTCTTCATTCAGACTGAACTCCCAAAACTTGACGACTTCGAACACAGCAGAGAGAGCAGGAAAAAGTGTGATGATAAAAGAAGGGAAGTTTTCAAGCTGAAATGTTTTGGTTGACAGACTGAAACTACTGTAAATAGTCTGGAAGACAGCTAAAATAACCTCAGTTTTAAAGGCAGGTGATTAAACCAAACCAGAAAAATACCAGCCAATTTGTCTTTTAACTTTAGTTTCAAAGACTGATGAAAAATTGGTCTACATGTAGTTAAATAACCATCTTAATTATGTGCTCCACCTCGCCATCTGATGCGGTTCAATTTTCAAAAACATCATTCAACTGAAACAGCCTCCTGTTTTCTATTTGGAAATATCAACAACTTATGCCCCTTTTCCACTAGTGCTACTTAGTGTAGTGTCGGAACGGTCGGTGTAGGTAGGGGTCGGACCGGTTGGTTTTCCACTGATGTTCCAGTCCGGTTCCAATGGGTGTGTTTTGGGCGGTTGATGTTGCTGGTTTTTAGGTATTTTGAATAAAAATTAATGGGCAAAATGAGAGATGGAAACACATTTGATGAATAACTTTTGAAATTTTAAACATTTGCAAAAATTTAGCCAATCATTGACGAACAGTGTTCTGACGTCGCGTTTTGGTGTCAGCTGGGGCCGGTTGGAACCACAATGAGGTAGGTACTAAAAAAAGTGCCGGTTCCTTGGATCTGGTCTAATGGAAATGGCTTGGAACCGTACCAAACCGTACCGACACTACACTAAGTGGCACTAGTAGAAAAGGGGCATTACTGGACAGGCAAGGTTGTGTTGGGACGGTCTTTTTAGATTTTAAATGAGCTTTTGACACAATCAGTCATTATGTGTTGTTTAATTTTTTTAAACAAAACAGAAAGCAGCTTGTGTTTCATCTGCTGCCACGGTAACAGTATCCCAATGTTTTTAAGATTCATGGTTACATCAAAACTAAAAAAAGCAAGCAGATGGCCAAAAACCAAGTATTTATGTGAACAGAGAGAGACTTGATGTGGTGGATCAGTTCAAGAAGTACCTTGGTGATCTGTTTGACTCAAATCTTACTTTTAGGTAACATATTAAGAAGACTAGTAATGTCATCAAATTAAACTTGGCTAAATTTCATCACATTTTTATCTCATATCTTATTGTCTTACTTGATCACATACAACAGCAAATCTGCTAAAACCCATCAAGCCTCTTTTCAAAAAGACAAAGTTTTAGACAGGCAACCTATTCGTGTTCAGCAATGTAATCATTGTTGTAATCATCATTCATTTTCCCTACAGTAATATCATTAAAAAGTAGAAAATCTTGGACATTGAAAATGATCAAAGGTTCAGTGATTTAAGTTTTGTTTTAGGGGTTTAATTGGATGTTCTCCTCCACCTTTAAACTCTTTTATTCTGAAGTACAAATCCAGAATAAACACTAGATCTCAGACTAGAGGGGACTGTGTTATAGCAAGATGGAGAAAAAAGTTTGGGCTGAAGGTCACATCCATTAGAGGAACAAACGTATAAGGAAAGAACTTCCAGAACATATCAGAGACTGTGAGAGCTATTTCAGTTTTAAAAAGTAACTTAAAGTTTGACTTAAAGAATGTATTCATTTGTAAAACAAGTTTATTTCTGTTGTGTAATTTGCAGTGTGTGATGTTTGTGTGTTTTGTTGGATTGTTGTACTTGTTTATAAGCTGTTTTTATTTTTTGTCTGCTCACATATTGATTAATGTGCATTGTCCTTTCAAATAAATAACTGAAATGAAACTTTTTCATCTGTTTCATGGTTTTTAGGTGCAGAGAAGAACTTCCTGGAGTCTGAGACAGGTCTAAAGGTTCTTCAGAGCGGAGCTGAACAGGTAAAAGACAAGAAAGGTAAAAAAAACTCGGCAGGAAGGCTCTGTCTTTAACTTTTTTCCTAGTTGAAAAAGAAATGCTCTGTATCTGCTGGTTAGGGGTTAGGGTTAGAGCTTTTATTTTGAAAGTTTAAGCAGGAGACCTATTGTTTGAAAATATGTTTTTTGTTTCCCACAGACTGACGAGGGGAAAATGTTACCCCTGGCCACCCGAGTCCAGCCTGGCTCCCGCTGGGTGTTTGCTACACTCGTGGCCATGGCCTGCATCGGCGGAATCCTGGTGGCGGCCATGACCATTGCCTGCCTTCGTCACCACGCTCACCGGCTGGCAGCGAAGAAGCTTGGCCTGGGACCAGAGGGCGGCAGCTTCAGCCACCAGGAGTACCAGGTGAGGAGGGAGTGAAATAACTGATAACGGCACACGTTCTAAGAAAGCAACAATAGAAAAATATCATCTGGTTGGTTCTGTTGTCTGACCTGAATATAGTTTATATACAGTATAAGGGGTTGTAGTTTCATCAGGAAGATAAAAACATTCTAATAAAACACAAGAAACTGGAAACGTGTGAACACTGAGAGCTGCATGATTGCTGAAAACACTTGCTACAGGCTAAAGGTTTAAGGTTAGCTAAATGAAACAAAATCATTTCAAGTTGGAAAAAATGGCTAAACTAAATTTAAAAGCTAAATGTTAGCAAAGATCTAAAAATAGCAAAAGGCTAACTCAAGCATCAAAGCAGCAAAAGATTAGCTAAAGTAGCAAACAACTAGCTCAAAGTAGCAAGTGTGTAGCTAAAACTAGAAAAAATGCTAGCTACAGGCTCAAAGTAACTTGTGTCTGTTTTTAATAATTTTAATTAATGTGATTAATTCATTTTAATTTAGTCTGTTCAGTGTCTGCAGGACTTCTTATTAACCCAGTGGGGCTACTACATGCTTGCATCATGGAAGAGAAAACAAAACTGGGGGCTAAAACAATAAATGTTATACGGGTTACTTATTTACTTTTTGTAAAAAAAATTGTTTTCATCCTTTGGTCTTTTTTTTTTTTATTGATGGCCTCCCTTCTCCCCTTATAGCCATCCTCTCCACACCATTATTATGAAATG